TATTCAAAAACAACAAGAGAATTTCCACTAAACCGCTAATTTTTTTGATCCCGGCGAAATCACCAATACATTAAAAGGTCACTTCTAACCATTACAGTGATGCTGATAGCCAAGATATAGGATATATAGCAAAATACGTGCAATATACAGGGTGGGATGAAAAAACTACAACCAACTTCAGACTGCTGTCATTGCTAAGCCACTCGTCCGACAGCTGTTAAAATTATTAGCATTTTGGTGAGAATTTTTCAGAAAAAAAGTTATTTGTGATGGAATTCAAGCGCAATAGTGTGATTTGTTTATATTTGACTGGAAAACCATAAGTGGCTATCGTTAGAGCACTCCACCATTTAAATGTGAATAAATCTTTGGTGCCTCGTACCATCGCTCGTTACCGTGATACTGGTAGCGTAGCCTGACGTCAAGAAAGTGGACGGAAGAAAACAGCAATATCAGCAGAAATAGTTCGAAAAGTGGTCTGAACATATCGCAATATTCCATTCGGCAAATATTAAAAAAAATTAGCTCGGGGTAAAGCCATTGAAATTCCAAAAAGTGCAAGAATTTACACCCCAACAGAAAGAAAATAGACTTAAAAGAGCTAATGAGTTGCTTCGCTTGGCCGAAAGTGGTGAACTGCCGAATTTGGTTATCTTCGATGAGAAAACATTCGTTATCCAGCAGTTTGTAAACAAACAAAATGATCGTGTTTACTTGTCAAAGAGGTCAGCTGAAAATGTGCACCTTCGGTTGGCCACCAGAACTCATTCGCCGGCCATGGTGATGGTGTGGGCCACCATTACAGCCGAAGGTCGCTCTCCGCTTGCATTAATCGACCGTGGCATCAAAATAAAAGCCGAATATAATCGCGAAAATATTCTGGAGGCTGTATTAAAACCTTGGGCACGCAAACATTTTGGCCGCAGACCTTGGACATTTCAACAGGACTCAACACCATCGCACTCAGCACGCGCCACCCAAGAATGGTTACAAAATGAGGTTCCTCGCTTCATTTCCAGCGCACAATGGCCACCAACATTTCCGGATACCAATCCATTGAACTATTGTGTCTGGAGTATTTTCAAAAGCAAGGTTGGCACTAAAAAATACCAAAGTGTCGATCACCTCAAGCAAGCGCTTCGCCGGGAATGGGCCAAAATATCGCAGAGCAACATTCGGGCAGCTGGTGACGGTTTCATTGGCCGTTTGAAGGCCATAATTCGTGCCAAAGGTGACCAATTCGAACAAATCTAAACTTATTCCAAAGTAGGATGATATTTCCGATATTTTCCACAATTCATTCATTCCATAAATTAAAAAAAAAATTAAAAATTATGGCCTTTGGCTTTGTTGCAGTTTTTTATCTCACCCTGTAGATTTTCAAAACTGGAAAATCTTTACAACATTACAATCATTGCTCACAAACAATAGACAAATGAATGGCTGACTTCAACACCTTATTTATTTTTGCATAAATTAAAAATCTTTTGAATTGAAACAAATTGCAAGACGAATCATTTTGTTGTATGGTGATTGAATTTATAGACTGAATAAAAAATAGTAATTTACAATTGAAATAAAATAGGAGCTATTGATGCAAAGAATACAATATGGTTAGTGTAGACTTCAATCTCATGTCCCAACGTATATCCTATATTCCTTATCATACAATCTAAATGTATCGAAATAAAATCTCGAATGTAAGTGATTGCAACGTTTTTTATAATAGGGGGATTTTTTCTGTGTGTACATTTTTATATTCCACAATATTGTGTGTGTTGGGGTATTTCAAGTTTGATTGGGCCATTGGTCATCACCCACCAAGCTGAGTCGATCTAGTTATGTGTGCCATCTCTCCATGTTAGAATATTATCAAACTAGAGGTCGCAATTACGAAACTCTTCGTTGATTTATGATTAAAATAGAAGAACTAGAAGCGTATCGATTTTGAAGACGTACCCAAATTACTTATAAAATTTGGAATTTTAAATTTGGAATCTCAATTATAGACCAATCGACGGAATTTTTCCAGGGGTTAGGGTTTTAAGGAGGGTAGAATCCTACCATTTTGGATGGTCACCGGATAATATTTGACGTGTGAAATGGACCATCATTTTTGTTGAAATAGCAAAATTTCCATTACACCACGAATATTTTAACACTGAAAGTCACTTTCCGCCGAAATCGCAAACACACGAAAAACGCACAATTCTGGTTTTTACATTGATTCTAACATAGTAGAAGCATAAAGTCCAGTATATTTTCAAAAAAGTTGAATTTGAATTGTCTCGACAGAGGGCGTAAATATAGGGCAATAGATACGGATTTTACATGGTCCGTGGTTTAGGTAAAAAACGATGATAAACAGTTTGCATTTTTACAAAAAAAATATATATTTTTTATTAAATATTAATACAAAGTCTACTATTTATGTATTGTAAGATAAATAGTATGGCATTAACTCAGCAATATAAAAAAATATTTATAATAATAAAAATCCATTAGGCTCCCCTGCCACATGAATACTGCAATCTAGAACAAGATAACCCTATATTAACCAGAGATAATAATTAACATGACCATTAAAATAAACGTTCAATTTATATTTATTTCAAGCATCAAATGGACCACATGATGCATGAAATGTTTTTGCGAACCTAACAAATAACCAAAACATTATTTGTAAACACTAACTCTTGAAAATTAGAAAAACATTTATTTGAAATTAAGCAGTACAATTATGTAACTTAATATCTGAAGGAATTTGTTCAGATCTGCAGAAACGTAACTTAATATCTGAAGGAATTTGTTCAGATCTGCAGAAACGTTAACGCAAATTATTGTAAACTATCGTATGTTAGGCCTTATGGTTAAAATGAATTAAATTTAAAATATGTGCTTTCAAATTTTAATTGAACTTTAACGAATCAAAAATTTAAAAAACTTTTATAAAATGTATCGACCCTTTAACATACTTTTTGCTTTCGCGCAAATTTTAAATATTCGAATATACATATGTATGACCTACCGCTGTTTCCAAACTAACAACAAATGTTAAACTCTATTCAATAACAAATAATTTTGACGATTCTACATATTAGAACAGTGTTGGCTTTGTTTGTTCGGGATACCATAGAATTTTGTTGTTGCAAAATGGTAAGGCTTAAATATTTATAATATTGGAAACTTCCTCGTCATCAATTCTTGTGAACAAAAATAGCGAATACCCTTGCTCGAAATAAATGGTCCAATTATGCCTATACATGTTTTGGCATGTTTTTGAGGCAAAAAAATCATTTTTTAAAGTTAGTCGCTTAAATAAAAAACAAGTAAAAAGCAGTAAGTCAGGTGCGAACTTTGAATACCCTCCACCAATGGGACGAATTTGAAATTTTTCAAAAAAAAAAAACATTCACCAAAAATTCTGTTAAAATCTTAAAAATACTGAATATAGCCGTTATATTGGGGTCTATACGAAGACGTGGACCTGCATAGGCAAATTTTGTCATTAGCTATTACAATATAGAAACACGAAACTTGAAAAAATCCGTGAATAATGTAGATAAAATCATTAAAATACCGAATATATGGAGGTACTGATATATGAGGCTTGTACGAAGGCCTGGACCGGCATAAACAATTTTCTGTCATAGACTGTAGTTCCCATTACGAACTCTAAATACGTAATTTGAAACAACTCCGGTGAATGATGTCGCTAAAATTATCAAAATACCGAATATTGGGATGTACCACGTCTTCGTACGTGGGTCTGCATTGATATTTTTTGTCATAGGATATAGTACCCATTAGAAATTCTAGGTACGCAATTTCAAACAACTCCGGCGAATAACGTCCCAAAATCGCCAAATATGTAATATGGGGGGTTCTGTTGTATGTGGCTATACGATATCTTGAGCCTATATGTCGGTGATACCAAATAATTAAATTCGATCGCTTAAATATGATTTGGACCCTGTGGGAGGGAGTTACCAGAAACAGATGTTATATTCTATCTTTACATTTGACGTCATATTGATTGTCAATTTTGATGTTATATTCTATCTTTACATTTGACGTCATATTGATTTTCTCACCATTACTATGTGCGGAATTTGGACATAATTATGGACTAATTTACATTTAATATTGGCGTATGTTGTTGGCCTGCAATTTTTATCACATTTAGGTACATTTAAACTAATTATGGTAAAGTATATTTTGTTCGTGACTGAGGACCCTTTAACCCTAAAGTTATACTACTAACACTGGGGGGTAATTTTTACCAGTTCTGGAGCAATACAAGAAAATCCATATTTTCTTACCGGAATTTTTGAAAAACCCTAAAAGTCGTAGCCTAACTGTCCTGATAAAGTTTTCTTAAAAAAATGTTGAAACGGTTATTTCAATGATTGTATTAAATGGTATGCCTTCCTCTATATACGTCTAAGGGTTTAATATATATGCCTGGCACCGGTGTATCCACACTTTTCCATCTAGTTTGAATGTTATTTAGGTTAGAGTTTGTAATGAATTAAAGTTCAGTCAAACCTGTCTTTAATCATTGTAGAAATATTTGTAATTGTACCATGTTCTTCAATATGGGGGTCATAAATCTTACACATGTTCTTTATATGTTCCTAGGCACATTTCTCACGATTTTTTGGGCACTTGGATACAGCCAATATTTTTGTTTATACTGTTTTTCATAATTAAACGCGAAAATTCACTGATTTAAAAACAAACTTTCTTTAAAAAAACGACACTACCTCGATCATGATTTGTTTAGCATATATTCACAGTTGTATTCATATCGTATCCGGTTCAATAACAGAAGAGTTGGGTTTTATTGCAATTAGTAACACAGTGTCCAGAGGCAAGTGCAAAAGCGTACGATAAAAGTTGCCACAAGTAACAGGAGTAGGGTTGAAAATCGATAACGCACTGATCGGAAAGTGGTTAAAATGTACATATCGATTTTTAAAACCCTATTTTCCCTTTTTGTTTAGTTTCCTAATCTTTATCAGCTCTCTCTTTGGCTGTCTCCCAAATAAGAAAATATCCTTCTGTGTCAGCAACGAAATAATTTTCCAGGCTTTTTTGCAATCATTTTAGGATTTTTTCCTTATCGGCGGAAAAATGATTGAGTCCACAAAGAATCCCTTAAGGGAAACCAACACTGGCGACAAGCTGTGCTTTGACAAAAATGAATTTTTAAAGGTATTTTCACCCATTGAGACAACAATTGACGTGGACCATTTTATTCTTCTCTCTTATTTTTTTAGACAAACTTCTCGGTGGATGAGTTCCTGCACAAGAATCGCAATGTTTCCAGCTTGGAATTGTTGCGAGATGATCTGGGTCTTTATTTGAAAAGTTTACGGGCATCTATGATTGATTTAATCAATGAAGACTATGAAGATTTTGTTAGTCTGTCGGCAAATTTGGTTGGGCTAGATCAATTGATTGACACCATTGAAAAGCCACTGGAAGAGTTTCGTGAGGAAATTCTTGGCATAAAGACAATTATCGATGAAAATATTGCTGATATACGTCAGAACCTTAATGCCAAACGTGAATTGCGAGAGAAAAGAAGAAACCTACAAAGCCTGAAAAAGGTGTATGAAACAACACACAAGCTGGAAGATTTGCTGGCAAATCAACTTAAGGATGAGACTAAAATTGTGGATTTAGAAAGGGCAGCTTTGGATTTGGTGCAGTTGAAATTTAATGAAAAATTTTGCAGTGAATACTTAAATACAGACGCCCAGACGGGTATAAGAAATTTGGAATCGGAAGTTCACAAAAAACTAAGAGCCTTGCTGAAGTCTGCCATCAACAAATCCAATGCAAACTGTTCGGAAGCACTGGAACGTTGCTTGCGGATCTATATAACTTTGGATGCATGTCGCGATGCTGAGTTGGCTTTCAAAGAAGATATTGTGGCACCGTATATGTCAGAAATCATATCTGAACATAGCTTGCAGCAGACACCACAAGGTCTGGCGGGAATATACAGCAAAGTTCTTAATTTCATTTCATTGTATATGACTGATCTGTTGCGCCTTACCCAATATACCGATAAGTTAAAGGGTTTCAACTTTGTGGTCAATAGTTTTTGGTCCGATGTTGAAATGCGTTTGGAAAATCACATGTCGTCTATATTTGCTCCTGGCAATTCTGAAGTATTTTATGCTAAATACAAATGTACTCAAGATTTTTTGAGCAAAATTGAAGAACTTCTTGCGAATCCAGAATCTGTTGAGGTATTTCGTCAGCACAAGCAGACAAAGGCTTTTCAAGGACGTTGGAATCTACCGGTGTATTTTCAGATTTGTTTTCAGGTGAGTGGGGTAAATACTTGCTTCCTTATTGTTAATTAATTCAATTACAATTATAGGAAATTGCTGGTAAATTTGAGGCAATATTGGAGCCACCCTTGTCGGATGATATGTTGAATGTAACTTCGGAACACTTTCAATTGAAACCATTTACAAAAGCCCTACTCGCCATTAAGTCGTGTTGGATGGAGGGTGTATTTCTTCAGGAACTTTTTCCAAAATTCTATAAACTTCATGTACAGATACTATTACGTTTGTGCCACTGGATAGAAGTAGTACTTCGAAGCATCACCTCCAAAAACACCGCTGCCGCACCCTCATTGAAAATGAAAAATACAATTTTACTGACAGCTTTACATTCCGATATCAACAAATTAATTAAACTGCTTAACGAGCAAGAACATGAAATGGTTCTGGCGAATTTAAAAACAACCACTATGCAAAGAATTCAACCCACTCAATTGGATCTTGTCAAAGATGCAGTCTCAAAATCTTTTAATGATTTAAAAGATAATTTCTCCCAGCATCTGTTGGGTATTAAACAAGCCATTGTTGATAGTTTGATTACGGAATGTGGTCCGGATAATGTCAAACAGGTTAATGATTTGCCTCGACTCTATCGCAAAACCAATCGTGAGGTACCAACACGTTGTTCCACATATGTGGAACAAATGCTGAAGCCCATGAAATCCTTTACCGATGAATACAATGACAAATTGGACAAGGCAACAATGCACAGTATTTTGGAACTGGTTTTGAACAAGATCACAGCGGAGTGAGTGCGAAAGAAATTGCATTTTAATTTTATTGAATATCCTTTTGCCTCTTGATTTTAGTTATCTTGAAGCCGTTAAAGAAGTCTTGACGTCAGTCCAAAAAACCGAGGAATCTTTGCGCCGTCTAAGAAGTCTAAAGGGCAATGGGCAACAACCTATGCCGGCCGCGGGTGGCACAATGTCAGATGATGATAAAATACGCTTGCAGTTACGCGTCGATGTCTCCTCATGGACAAATGAATTATCAAAACTTGGTTTTATGCCCACCGATGTTGCCCAATTAATGGAGCTGAACAACGTGGTAGAAGAGAGTATAAAAGGAAAGTAGTCATCACAAATAAAAACAACAAAAAATATTCACTAAATATTTTTAATAGATGCAATATTTATTCATAGAGAAACACACGACATATACAAATATATTCCATATATAAAAATAAAGCGCATTTTTAATACGGAATATAAGTAAATCACTTTTAATTCCATATATATATGTAAAAAAGAATGTATGTATTTTTATTTTATTGTACAGTTACTCTTACATTATTATTGTTATGTTAGGAAAATCGTTTTGTATGTTAATTGGCACTGGTGTGAAATTTTGAAGGCAGATTTCCAAGAGACAAAAAACATAGGAAAATAAATGCATTTAATATCCTGGCACTTTGCTAATGGTAGCATTTAAATTTTGAAGTTTGTTTAGGCTCCTCTGTTGGGGTGGAAGAGAATAAATATAACATTACTATTAATTATTGCTTCCAAATATGTGATATCATCAATGATTGTGGTTGCAAGAAGTAAAAAAAGCAAAAAAAATATTAGCATAAAATGTAAAAAAAAAATCGAAATAATTCGTTAACTCAATGCAAGGCACTTACATACACATAAATACAACTACTACAAAGAAGAAAAGAATTCGTAATAAAGAAGCATTTAAAAAACGAATACAAAATCATAAGTATCAAAACAAACTCGTTTTTGTTTAAGGACTTGCCGCCAGCAGTCATGCGACGTCAAAAATGTATATTAAAACTAAGGCGGCGGAATGTGCAGGTTCTATAAAAAATGTATATATAAATTTAAAGAAAAAAGTGGACGACTGCGTCACAAGGCAGCTCTACACACATTATATCTTTAACTACAAACGCACGCACACAGAAAAACTCAAAAGCTAAACAAACAGGTGCACAAAAGCAAACCGTTTCGTTGTTTTTTTGGAAAATTTACAATTTTAGTTCTTCGGTATCGGGCAACTTGGCAAAGAATGACTGAACACGTTCTTCGGTCACGGCCTCCAATGTTGTGGGATTCCAATTGGGCTTTTGGTCCTTGTCGATGAGTAATGCCCGTACACCTTCTTTGAAATCGCTATTCTCCAAATGACGTACAACCATACGATATTCCATATTCAAGCACTGGGGTAGTGATAACTTGGAACCCAATTCCAATTGACGGAAGGTGACCTTCAGGGATGTTGGGGACATTTTGGACATTGTCTGAAAAAATAAAAAAACAATAAAAAGGACACCAATGAGATTAAAATGATTAAGAAAACACTGAAGACAATAGGGGGTCGGGTGTACCTTAATTTGGCACAACGCCTCGCCTAGCATTGATATAAATGTTGCAAAGTTTGAACATAATGGAATGAAACCTTTTCACCCTCTATGAGAACAATTATTTCCTTTGAAAATTGTGATCTTTTGTGGGTTATATTCCCCAGGAAAAGTGGGGTATATTTCCCATCCCGGAACTCTATCTCAACTTGATAATATTATTACAATGAAACAAGTTTGGACGTAATCGGGTAAAACGTATTTTTCGATAAGATATTTTTAAACCGTATCAAATGATATATACTTCTGTAGCCATATGGCTCTTTTAAAAAAGTTGATAACCCACTTCTTCCATTTTATGGTCAATTTCGTCGATCCATTGAAGCGGCTATATAAATTGCTGGATATTCCTCAGGAAAAGTGGGGTATATTTCCCATCCCGGAACTGTATCTAAACATGATAATAGTATTACAATGAAACAAGTTTGGACGTAATCGGGCAATCGTATGCACCAGCCAGTCAGATAGACATATCGACTAGATTTCCAAAAGAAATACAATTCGTCTAAAGAGACCTGAGGCCTAAAGCGTATTTTTCGATAGGATACGTTTTAATCGTTTAAAATAATCGTATCTTCCATTTTATGCTCAGTTTCATCGACCCATTGAAGCGGCTATATATTGCTGGACAAACACAGAGTTTGAACTGAAGAATGACCATTAATTATCGATTCGTCGCCGTTCAAATCCATTGGGTCTCTTATACTCAACAACATGGGAAAATTAAGAAGGATTTAGAAGTGAAGCCTTCCAAAATACTACTTGTGCAAGAAGTGAAGCCGAACCACCCATGGTACAATGATATCAAGATATGATACCATATGATTTTAATTTTTTCACAATGAAGAGAAGGTAGGTCAACTTTGAAAAAATTGCAAGTATAGAGGTCTACCTGTTTGGCTTGTAATGTCAGAAATAGTATCAAAACAATAACAAAATCAAACAACTTGTTGCATTTATTTTGAATAAATAATTGAAAACCGCGATAACTGAATGAAAGGTCAACACTTATTTTCAAAATCATGTACTATATATCTCTAAAGGATTATTTCGCTACAAAAACTCTAGATTTTGTCGATGCATGCGTTGAAATAAACATTTTGAAAACATCAGAATTTGAATATTTTCTGAACAATTTTTTTTTTTTGTTATTGAAAAGAAAACACATACATAAACAAATAAAGATGACATATTAAGCCAAGAAAATAAAAAAATGGAAATCGTATGGTATCATAGCCCTACCTTGATATCATTGTACCATGGTTCAATGGGTACGTAGATGAACAGAGTTGTCCATTTTGGAGTGAAGATCGGCCAGAAGCATTTCATAATTTACCAATACGTTCAGAAAAATTCAGTTTGGTGCGGTTTTGGGCTTATGCCATCATTGGACGTACGTCTTCCATGAAGCTACGAGTCGTAACGTCACTTTGTCTTATATCCTTCGTTTTTACCACAAAATCCAAGAGTTTGACTAACATGACATGTGGCTTCAATAAGACGATGCCACATACCACACAGAACGCTTAACAATGGACTTATTTAGAGGAGAGTTCGGCGAATATTTTATTTCTCCTTCGGTACTGGTCAATTGACCGCATAGATCATGCAATTTAACGCCTTTAGACTAAATTTTGTGGAGCTATGTTAACAGTAGAGACTGCTCCAATTGACACATTGGAAGATAACAATGAAGCATTTATTCGTTATACCGGCCGAACTGCTGAAAAGAATATGATAAAATTGGACCAAACGGATAAACCATACGACGACATGGACCTGCATAGGTAACTTTTGTCATAAGCCATTACAGTATTCAAATGCTAAACTTAAAAAAAATCGGTGAATAATGTTACTAAAATCATCGAAATACCGAATATCGGGAGGTACCGTTATATGGGGGCTATACGAAGACGTGGACCTGCACATAAAATCTCCTGTCATAGGCTGTAGCATTTATTACGAACATCATGTACCAAATTTAAAACAAACGAATATCGGGAGGTGCCGTTATATGGGGGCTATGCGAAGACGTAAACCTACATGGCCCATTTTCAATACCAAAAGTCCTGCAGACATAATATACATTTGAGTAAAATTTTATCAATATACCTTATTTCGTTCGGAAACTAGAGGATTTCCACAGATGCACATACGGATAGACGGGCGGACGGACGACCATTGCTAAATCCACATGATTAAGAATATATATACTTTGTGCTGTCTAAAATGTATATTTCGAGGTGTTGCAATCGGAATGACAAACTTAATATACCCTTCATACTATGGTGGAGGGCATAAAAATGTGTTATTTAAAAAATATTTTATATAAATATTAAAAATTCTTTCATTCATAAATTACGGTAGATTAAATCCTGCAAAAACATTGTCTTTTAGATCACATTATAAAGATAAACAAGGTTAGAAACAGCACCCGTGAAAGAAATAATAAGTTTAAACAAACAAAACATAAAAAAAAAACAATTTGATAAACCGCACAAAAATTAATTGTGAAAAAAAATAAAATGGTATGCTTTAGATAGATTTGAATACTACATATATTTTTTATGGAATGTATTCAATTCAGTTTTGCACAAAGAAACACGATCCCACAGGATGGACCAATGTAAATATTAACATGTCGAAAATATAAATCAACAAAAAACAAAGAAGTATGTAATACGCACGGTGCAAATATTAACACCTTAATGGTCCAAATAGTCTAACAATGCAAAACAATTTTTTTCATTATCAGCTGATACTTTGGGAAAATCGCTTTAAATTAGTCCGACAAAAGCATTTGTTTTTAATTATTGCAATGATGTAAATGAATGAATAAATTGTACTGTACAGGCCTGCATGTTTACATTGGCCATTGACATAAAATCTGGTTGTATGTATTTATTACTTGCACGCACACAATACTTACATACATATTTGTTTACATCAAAATCTATTCTTAACTAAAAATAGAAAAACAAGGAGTATGTAATAGGCATGGTGCGAATATTAACACCTAAATGGTTCACATAGCCAGTCTACCAATACCAAACAATATTTATCATTATCACTTTATAGTCAGGCAAAATGTTTACAAGCCCGCTTTTTTGCGCTAAAAACATTGCAAGTAAATAAGAAATTTAAATTAGTCCGATGCATTTGTTTTTAAGTAATGCATTAAAGTAAATGAATGAATTGTATTATATGGGGCCTGCATATTTACGTTGGCTATTAGCATAAAATCTTGTTGCAAAAATAACAAATGTTCCCAAGGCAGGTATGTATGTATGTGACCATTACATGTTCACAAACACATATACATACACATTTGTTTACATTTAAATCTATTCTTAACCAGAAAATAGAAAACAAATCACCTCATCGTATTACCAACAAATGACAAAGAATGAATAAACCTTGATTTAAAGTAGCAAACAATATCGTGGCAAATAAATGATAAGCAACACTGATTAGAGAAGGAGAGATTGGCGTAAAAACAAAAAAAATAACAGAAAAATACTCCAAGTATGAAAAAATGTATTCTAGTAGATAACCGGCAAGCCGGCAGTAGATAAGGCATTAAGTTATTGAAGAAGAAAAAATAAGAAAAACATAAAATCAAAGGCACGTAGACCCCCAACAAACAGTAGTAACAGTAGTAGTAGGTAGCACCAATTAAGTGCAAGGGTTCAAAGTCCACATTTCACTTACCTGTAACGTCTTGGTTGCCCATTCACTGCCATCCTTTTTGAGATTCTCCACAATTTCCTCCACACTCTCAGCCGAAAAACAATTGTTTATCTGCTCCATTTGGGGTGTCAATACAAATGGTTTTGCTGAGGGTGAATTGAATTTAGATAAAATCTCTGGCACCTCATCAGCATCGGGGCAATTAAGTAAAGCCGATTCCAAATCACTTAATTTGGAACTCTCACAGAAATGTGTTGCTATGCCAGCTTTAAGAACATCTTCACCCTTCAGACGGAAACCGGTAAGGCCAAGATACAGGCCAATTTTGCCCTCCAAACGGGGTAGGAAATAAGAACCACCAACATCAGGGAACAAACCAATTGCCGTCTCCGGCATGGCAAAGAGAGTACGTTCAGTGGCCACCCGATATTTACCATGGACCGATAGACCAACACCACCGCCCATTGTAATGCCATCGATGAGGGCAATATAGGGAATCTTGTAGTTGCCGATCAATGCGTTTGTTGCATATTCTTCACGGAAGAAATTCTTCGACTCTTCGGTAGGACCTGCCTCAACCACAGCCCGTACATCACCGCCAGCACAGAAACTCTTGTCGCCAGTGCCCTTAATTATCATCAGCGATTTTGTCTTCTCACATTTTTTCAAATGTTTATATATTTTGCGCACCATTTCCAGGTTGATGGCATTCAAAGCTTTTGGCCGATTCAAAATGATCATACCTGCAAAGAATGCAAATTATGTTGTGTTCTCATAAAACATGCATAAAAACATGAAGCTTGAGGGGGAGGTGAAGAATGCAAAAACTCACCTTTGTCGGAAGATTCTGTAGCCAAAACTTCAGTCGACATATTGCGTATTGCTTGAGTTGTGTGTGGATTGCCCAACAAAGGCATGGTACGATGACCAAATGCATAAATAATACGTTGAATTACCTGTGTTAATGGAAAATAGTTTTAATAATTTTATTTCTTTTTTTAAAAATGATCAATTCTAAAAAATCACTTTCTTTTTCCTTCTCTTCATCCATTCTGCTTATTTGAATTATTGATTAGATTTAATAGCAAGTATTTTTGTGAATTGGATTTTGGAATGTTACTTACCATTTTATTGCAGCGGTTTCGAATTGAACCTATGTGTTTCTTCTCCCCAAAAGTTCTTTAATGAGGTTGCGCAATCTTAAATCTAGAATTCTCAAAGAGAACCTCCAACAAAATAAAGCCACACAAAGAGAATCACGGCATATTTATCAGGCCACGCAAGTGGCGAAAATAGACAAAACATCTGTTTTATGCGTCAACTTGTCAAAAATTGTTTGTTTGTTGAGACAAATGTTAAACGAAGAAATTAAAAACTAAATTATTGTTGACATAAAAGTATTTAGATTTTATTAATAACTATTTAATTTTTAAAATAAGTAAAAGCTAAGCAATTCTTTACATTTTGCATGACATTCAAATAAAAACCAAATTTGACAATTTAAATGATGGTCAGCTGTCCCAATTGGATGGCTCTGTAGGAAAAGAATAGAAGAAGAATTATAATAATAGGGATACATAAGTCGATTTTCGACTTATCTAAGTATCGACTTTATGTTACCAATTAATCGATACCTATTACTTAGGATTCACTTGAATACTTCATTCAATTGCTTGTTCCAAAACAACAATAATGTAAGAATTTTACAATTGCTCTGTTCCACAACCTACAAGAATCGGAGCAGCTGCTGGGATAATGAAATCTCAAACCGATTTTGGAATTGAAAATTTTGAATGAAAAATTATTGAAATTTGTAAAAATTGTTGAAAAAGGCATTTTATAGCAACCTCCGTCGTATAAGAAAAGTTACAAAAACCTACTTATTTTTGAAAAAAATATTTAAAAGTGTTGACATATCATTGTTCCCAAGCGTTGATGCATCTATCTATATTCTCCTACCATGGTACGGGAACACTTTTTAAATAAAACGCACCGTAAAATAATACAGGAAGCCACATCGTAACAGCTGGTGGAACTGTCAAAACATTTTTGGAATTGAAACCCTTTCATGAAATGCTATTTAAATTTGTTGAAAAACGCATATCTTTACAGCATCTGAACGGCATCGTATAAGCAAATATGTAAAAATACATTTTTGCATTTTTTTAAATATTCCTGACATTCATGTTATGCATATGTCAAAAAATTGTAAACTGAGTGGATTTTATTGATTTTCACATATTGTTCCAGAATTGCAAAGAATGTAAAACTCTTTTTGCAGGCTTAGGAACAGGGCATATGTAAACCCACGAAACTTGCGTTCGCACAACTGTCAAACTTTGTACGTAATCATCGAAGACACACATTGAGGTGGCTTAAAATACAACCCTTAGTGTGCAAAATCTCTGTTTATGTTTATCGGTATTTTTGAAATTGTCAACGAATTTAATAGAAAATAAAATATAAGTATCATTTTTCCATTAAAAGATCAATTAAAATAGAATACTTATACACATAAGCACTAATAAATGTGATAATTATAATTATTTTTTATTTGTTCGTCTGTTTGTTTATAAATGCGCGCAATCATAATTTTAACTTCTCTCAATTCTCTCTCAAAGTTGCTCCGATTGTCAATTAGAAAAAAATTGACTACCTTTTCGATGATTTCCCGCTAAAAAATCAGTTCGCGTATTAAATTCGACGTTAACGGTTCAGTGCAATGAAAAATGAATAATTTTATGTTTTTAGAAAGACTTTTGAAACCATTGGACTCCGTAAAGCTACTAATGTAACGTTGAGTAGCAAGCCAATTCCCTAGCATTGAAATTTAACAATTCTCATCACGGATATGGAAAATAAACGTCTATGCTTTGCGAGCCAAGTATCAGAAGGAGAATTTACTTTAAATTATGTTATAATCGTTGAGGATTTGAGGAGAAAAGTAATTAATTTTTGGCTCCGGAAGGACTTTTGGAAACACAAAACTGAGTAAAGCAATATTAACTGGTCTAGTTATCCTAGCTAGAAAATTACCATGAAATTCCTAAAATCTTTATACTAATTTATACGGTTTAAGACAATTTTTTAATTCGGTATTGTAAGACTGGAAGTGATATAAAACAAAGCAACTCTTAAAAAATGGGATACTGAACTTTGAGTGATTATGATAAGATTTGGAAACACTGAGGACTGAGTGGAGAATCCTAGCTTGAATTTTTGGACTAGAAAAGATTTTTGGAAACACATAACTGATAACAAACACGTAACTGTGAATCAGAGACAGCTAGTGATTACGATAAAAAAAGTTTGGAAGCCCTGAGGACTGAGCGGATACGAAGCTAAAACTGGACAAATAATCATACAGAAATTTACCTTGGACAATCTCATATCTTCAGATTAATTTTCAGTTCGGTATTGCAAATTTGTAAGTGAAACAGTGAGTGGTTGTGGCAAAATGTGAAAGCACTGAGGACTGAGTAAAGCAGTGAAGTTGGCCAGTTACACTAGCTTGAAAAATCAAAAACTTTGAAGGGGAATAATAAACTAAATAAAACTGAACAAATAATCCAAGAAAAAATTTCCGCCAAAATGGTGCTCCTCAAATACGTTAAGTATCTATGCGCATATTCGGTTTCAGATTTCGGTTCGGTAACGTAAGACGGGAAGTGATATAAATCTAAGTGCTCGTAAAAATATTTAAAAGTGAATATTAATTATAACTAAAATGATTTCAAGATGAATATAAATAAATGCATAAGTTATTGAGACTTCAACAATGTTACATAAACACGGCGGATGTATATCTAACGAAGTGAATACGTTTAAAGATGGATAAATTTATTAGATAATAAAAGAATTGCCTTTCTCTCAAATCTTTAAATTTTAATATAAACTAATTGAAATCAGTTTGGCAAAAATAAAATATAAATACGAAAAGTGACTTATAGCTGAATATTAAGACATTCGACTCCTGAACGACTCGTAAGGATGCATTGCTGTTTGTGAAATGTTCGATGTTGACAACGCAAATATACGTTCTACAGAATTAACAGGTATGTATATTATCTCATACATTCTATATCTGTTAAAGTTTTATGTCCATTAATGCATCTAAGTTACAGAAAACGTTTTTATGGTTAACATTTAGATTTTTTAGTAAAACTTTCATACTGGTTTCCATACCGGGCTTAAGACCGGTTCATATTTAAGATATAAATAAATTTAAGCGATATATCAATATATGATATCGAAATTAGCTTCAGGAGTTATAGCAAAATAATTGTCAATAATGATATGAGTCTTACATTCCCGAACTCAGGCTGTAAAGTTCTTCCTGTAGAAAAAACTTCAGGAGTATGTATTAAACATGATCTTTTTATATCCTCCATTATACATGCATACATAGTATGGAGAGTATATTAATTTCGTCATTCCATTTGTAACTCATCGAAATAGTAATTTTAGACCCAACAAAGTACATATCCTGATCAGCGTAAAATTCTGAGACGATTTAGATAGCGTTTTTGTGTCTATTTTACATCCTGAGAAAGAATTGTCCATATAGGTCCACGATATCGTATATCCCTTCCGATATTCGGTATTTTGATCACATTTTTCAATGGAATTTACTGCTATTCTACACAATTAGTTCTTTGTGAGCACTTTACCCTCTGAAGGAGAATTTTCTATATAGGCCCAAGATATCGTACAGCCCCCATACAATGGTAACCCCCGATATTGGGTATTTTGCCGATTTTAATGACATTATTCACCGTAGTTGTTTCAAATTTCGTAATGGGTTCTACAGCCTATGAAAATGTCATATGCAGGTGCACGATATCGCATGCCCCCAGGTAACGGTACCTCCCAATATTCGGTATTTTGATGATTTTAGCGACATTACTAACCGTAGTTGTAGCAAATTACGTATTTAGAGTTCGTAAGAGAAGGAAGATGCATCATGCCACACAACACGCGTAACAATAGACTTTTTGAGAGGCGAGTGAACCTAGATCGTACAATTTAACTTCTTTAGACTATTTTATGGGGCTATGTTGAAGCTCATGTTTATACAGAAGAGCTCACATTCAATTGACGCATTGGAAGACAACATTAAAGCATTTGTTCGTGAGATACCGGCCGAAATGTTGAAAAGATAAATTTCTTTGAATTGTATTTATTTTTTCTTTAAAATTTTTCCCATAGTTCTTAGAAAATCACACTTCATATTAATACTGCATTAAATACAAACTGAACTGGTTCAGAAAATTTAGTTTCTGATCTTCACCATTATAAGAAATAATTTTGAAAAATTCTTAGGGAAAAAATATGTATCAAAGTTTTTTTTAATCATTGAATAATGGTGTAATTCTGTAATTCTTTCTGTACTTACCGACAAACATCGGTAACCTTCAAAAGTAATTTTTAAAAATATTTTAGACTAAGAATATTATATATAATTTTAGAGTAGTCATGTATAGAAGTTTTTGGAACCGTCCATGGCCCTATGGGCTAGGTAACTATGTTAATTGAATATAAATAAATAAAAAAACATAAAATATTAAAACAAAGTTGTCAACATTGTTTGCATCGGTATGACTTAGCGAATACTTTATTATCGTCGTTAACTTACCGAAAAATGTCGTTAATTGCCGATATTATTATCCAATAGCATCTGCAATTTCCCCAACAGTTTAAAAGGTTTAAGTAGCTAGTAATTATTTTTTATTCTAATATTTTAACACCTATTTTAATTTTTCATGAAAAAATCAATTATAACTAATTGAGTGATACAGACGAAAATCGTATCCTCACATTACTCTACGCTTAACAGGAAAAATTTCTGTCTTGTTGTTTTTGGTATATTAAAAATGCAAATAAAATTAGAGAAACATCCCATAATTGTTCGTAATGACATCATTATTATCTATATTCTTTTCTCAAACCATACAGACTAGTCTATAAACTTATTCTACGTGTAATTTCTTTTGAATTTCTTCATTTAGTATTGGTGTTTTGCTAGCTTTAATCTTATTGATGGCCTTGTTGACCGTCTCCGTGGTATTGTCATATTCGTTAAGTTTCTTTGCCAAAAAGTAAATCTCAGCCAGGGCAATTATAAGAGCAATCATTATGCCCAACAACAGGCGCAGTCCAAAATCTAAATTTCCCACAATAAGTTGAATGCCAATGAAACCAAAAGCAAAACCAGCTGCCACGGAGAATATGAATTGCAGTACGGCAACCAGTTGACTGTTGATGGCTTTCACTGCAAAAAAAGAAGAAACAAACAAATTTGTCATTTGAAAATAAAATCTTATTCACAATAATCGAATTAGACCACTTGTACTATAGGCTGTAACTTTGAAAGGAGCTTTAAACAATTCCGGCGATCTTTTGTTAAATCCAGAGAAACAACTATAACAAATGTATAAAATGATATGTTTCATGAAGAAAAACGGTGGAAGATCAATGGCAGTTTTTTTTTTTACTTTTAGCAATTCATTCCAAATGGAATAATTTGGTTAACATTAAAAAACACATTCGTGATCAATCTCGGGATTTAAATTAGAAATTCAAATGATGCTTCTTGCACATCAATTCGAATATTATTCAACTACACATACATGCTCTTGATAAAAGAACAGTTGAACGTAGCTAAAATGAATATTTGTTATAAACCCATATCCCATCATTATTTTATAAAACCTGATTCAAAAATGGATACTTACTTTGATAGGCAATCGTATCCTCTGGATAATTCTTTAGCGTTGCATCAACATCCTTTGTCATTTTACGATATTCCAGGTTTTGTTGTTCCAGACGTAACTTCTGACAGCGTGCCTCTAGTTCTGGATTTCTTTCGATTGTTGCATTTTTGGGCAATTCCAATGAACATGTCTCAAGCAAATCATTTAAATACACATCAACTATGCCTTTGGAACGTAGAGTACCCAGGGCTTGGCTAAACCAACGTAGATCACTTAAATACAAATATATTTCTTTTGTCTTATCGAAGCTAGCTTTTTCTTCTTTTTCCTTCTCAGATTTTGTCGTATGGGTTTCACTTTCTATTGTCACTTCATTGTTTGCCAAAATATCGTTGAGTAGTTTCACATCGACACCTTTATAACCATTTCCATTATTGTCTAATTGCGTTACACGTATTCCCATTGGTTTTAATAAGTCCACAACATGTTTGGGGGCACCCGCAAATTCTGTATGGTGTTTTTTAATAATGTCCAACAATTGCGTTGACACCTTTACCCTGATTCGGGGATCTTTGATGGTATCTATAGTGCCCATTGTAAAATGTGTGTTTGAGTTTTTTATCACTTCAGTTTAAGCTTGAGCTGCAAATCGGAATACAATTCTGATATTTCTTCCTCTTTAACTGCAAATGAATTTTCAACTCTTTGGTAGTTGTGTTTCAGTTCCAAATCAAAATCTTCTTTGCGTTTGGTTCGCTGTGCTCGAGACTCTAGTATTTCAGCACTCACCTGAAGCAGGTATGCAGTTAGTAAGTTGACAATAATTAACTAAGATTTTTCAAACTTACCTCCTTTGGTACCTGTAAATTTTCAACCAAAGTTTCCACTTCTCCCAATATGGTCTTTAATTCACCGGCAATATTACCTAAATGTGCCGCTCCCAAGCTAATACATTTATCGGATAGATCGTATTTCAAGGCACCTACTGTCTCGGTTACTTTGAACAAAGATTCCACTTCTGAATCGTTGCGTTGTGTTTCGAAATTGTTGAGAAAAGTTTCTATTTCTCCATTTACAAAAACACGATGATCCAAAATACGATACTGGGTGTTCGATATATCTGCAAAAAATATTCGATATTTTTATAAAAAATTTCATTAAGGATTTAATAAAAACATGAAATGCATTTGCAATTACCTTTTCCCAATGTTATCATTTTCCCTTTATTCTTTCGGCTGTCAATGGTTGTCACATGATACTAGGGTTGCCAATGGCTCGGCCATTGGGTGGGCAAGCTGATGATGTTGTGTAAGCTGTGTAGATGGCGATGTCATAGAAACTACAGTAGGGCTTTGATCATCTTGCATAAGTGAAATGAAATTTTTAAATAGCAGAAAAGCTTAAATAAAAGAATAATAATAAAGAAAATATCTTCAAATGTTCATAATACATGATTCTGGAATCTTAATCGAGAATTTGCTTCTCACTGATCTTCACTCTTGATTGACAATTCTGCATATTTACGAAGGAATTGTGCCAAAAATGATTCCAATCAGATCACGCATTTTGATAATAAAAGTCAATGATTTACATGCAAGACGATTCGCTGTTAAATTATTGATAAAACTTAGCGTGGGATCGCTGATTAAAACAATGTTGGCAAAAAGGTAATAGGTAAAAAATCACTTTTTTCTATGGATTTGTATGTTTATATGGAATGGATATAATTTTGAAAAAAAAAAATGTAAATCTGCACTGTATGCAAAAGTCTCGAATAAAAATTAAAAAATCTTAGTTTTTGCATTAAAAATTTTAAATTCCAACATTTTTCTTTTAAATATCTTCACAGCTGTAAAACATAGCGGCCGCAAAAACTACTTTCCGTTAAAACTCTCTCTATTTTACTCTTTTCATACTCATTCTTTATGACTCTCTCTTGCTGTAGAGTGTCGATTAGTTGATTAGCCGAATGTCGACTTTTACATCCCTACTTCTGAGGTCTACGTGATTTTTTTTATTATTTTTAGCAGCTGTTGAAAATTCGGGGAGGGAAGAAAAGTCGCGAAATTTTCCATTATCAAATAACAAAAAATCAATAAAACAATTATTGGAGAAAATTTTTGACTGCAAACACGATGAGCGAGGAGTTTAAATTGCCAAAACGTTCCCGCAAACGTACACGTGATGTTAAGCGACGAGCACGACCAGAATTGGACAAAGAAGGTTGGGTTGCGCTGCGTTACGCCGACCCCGAACGATTTGAACCGTTCTGTAAGGTCAATGACAACATGGAAAGGATCAATGAGGATGAAATAAGTTGCGAGGAATTCATACGACGCTTTGAGGAACCCTATTTGCCCGTGGTGATTGTGGGTTGTCAAAAGAGTTGGCAGGCATTAGAAAAATGGACCCTACCACGTTTGGCCAAAAAGTACCGTAATCAAAAGTTTAAATGTGGCGAAGACAATGAGGGGTACAGTGTCAAAATGAAAATGAAATATTACATAGAATACATGCAAACAACGCGGGACGATAGCCCTCTGTATATTTTCGACAGCAGTTTCGGGGAACATCATAGACGCCGGAAACTTCTGCAAGATTATGTTGTGCCGAAATATTTTCGCGATGACCTATTTAAGTATTGTGGTGAAGAGAGACGTCCTCCGTATCGTTGGTTTGTAATGGGGCCGGCACGTTCCGGTACTGGTATACACATAGATCCATTGGGCACCAGTGCATGGAATGCCTTGATAAGTGGTCACAAACGTTGGTGTCTATTCCCCACCCAAACACCCAAGGAATTGTTGAAGGTGCCCTCCCACCTGGGTGGAAAACAAAAAGACGAAGCCATCACTTGGTTCAGTACAATATATCCACGTACGAAGCAAGCCGATTGGCCAAAAGAATATCAACCTGTAGAGATTTTACAAAAACCTGGAGAAACTGTTTTTGTGCCAGGCGGTTGGTGGCATGTGGTGCTAAACTTGGACGACACTATTGCTATAACCCAAAACTTTTGCAGTCGTACCAATTTCCCAATTGTATGGCACAAGACGGTGCGCGGTCGTCCAAAGTTGTCACGCAAGTGGTTAAGGGTTTTACGCGAAAAAGAACCCGAATTGGCTAAGGTCGCTGAAAACATTAACATAAATCAAAGCACTGGATTTGCATCGGATAGTTCAAGCAACTCGAGTTCCTCCTCATCAAGTTCATCATCATCGGAATCGGATAGTGATAACGGTGGCAACAACAGCGAAGATGATTCATGCTCATCGAATACGGACAGTGGTCAGGAAAGTCTTACTGCCAAAAAGAAAAAGAAACGACGCATGGGTGAGGCCATGACCTCAAATTCATGATGGCCGTTACTAGTATTTAAATGTAGTTGCTATAGAAAAAATAACACCAACGATAAAATTAACGATAATTGTAGAAGTATTGCAAATAATGCTGATGATGCCACCACCACCAACAACACCACTGCTACTACTGCCCATAAACACCAACATTATGTTCACGATGATTTTAACAAGGAAATGAAACCAGTAAACAAAATGTCAACAGCAGATGTTGTTGATAACACTACAAGATTCCTAAGCAGAATGCGTATGCTATATGTGGGACTTATGGTTGAAACCAATAATAGTTAACATTTTTCTCTCATAATTTAAGTAATAGAATTTGGGTGGATTCTGATCTAGCATATTGGCAATTCCCCATCTTTCTACACAATTTTGAATATCTTTCTTTTATTACATGGATATTTCTCTGTCCCACAGATTTCTTTTTGCTGAAATATGAAATTCTCCATCCGTTTTCCTTAAAAACTAATTAATTTAACTATTTTTACCTACTAATTGAAGAACTATTTATCAATTACTTTGACTAATTTATGAGCCCGTATTAAAATCGACTGGATATCAAGGCCTTTAATTGCAAATAAGTATTTTTTACTTTGCAATTATTCCATATATATAGTAATATACTGAAAAAAATTGCAATTGTATAATGCTAACATCCCCGCCAAACCATATCGTTGTCCTATTTTTCCGTATACCTACTTTGATTTAAGAATTTAATTAAATTAATAAATAAAATATGATTTGAACAATAATTAAACTTGTATTAAATAAAAACATACAGAACAGAAAATATCTGGATTTTTTTAATTTATAATTTATCATACTACAATTTTAAAGGATTATAGGAACTTTTATTGTGAGTTCGGTTAGGTTTAAAGATGAACAGTTACACAAGGCTATGCAGCGGCTTCAATCGGATACCATTGATCTATTGTGTTCATTCCAAGAAAAGTTAGTTATGATAGGAAAAATATAATTTGGAAATAAAGACGTGATAGAATTGTCTAATTATAAAAAACTGCAACAAAATCAAACGCCATAATTTCTAATATTTTTTTTTTTTTTTTCAATTTTATTGAATGAAAGCAAAAATGTCAGAAATAGCATAAAATTTTAGAATAAGTTTAGATTTGTTCGAATTGGTCACCTTTGGCACGATATATGGCCTTCAAACGGCCAATGAAACCGTCACACGCTACCCGAATGTTGCTCTGCGGTGTACCATTCCCAGCGAAGCGCTTGCTTGAGGTGATCGACACTTTGGTATTTTTTAGTGCCAACTTTGCTTTCCAAAAAACTGCAGACACAATAGTCCTACAGATTGGTATCCGGAGATTTTGGTGGCCATTGTGCGCTGGAAATGAAGCGAGGAACCTCATTTTGTAAACATTCTTGGGTGGCGCGTGCTGAGTGTGATGGTGCTGTGTCCTGTTGGAATGTCCAAGTTCTGCGGCCAAATGTTTGCGTGCCCAAGGATTTAATACGCCCTCCAGAATATTTTCGCGATAATATTCGGCATTTATTCTGATGCCATGGTCGATTAATACGAGCGCAGAGCGACCATTGGCAGTTTTGGCGGCCCACACCATCACCATGGCCGGCGCTTGAGTTCTGGTGGCCAACCGAAGGTGTACATTTTCAGCTGACCTCTTTGGCAAGTGAACACGATCATTTTGTTTGTTTACAAACTGGTGGAAAACGAAAGATTTCTCATCGGGGAAAACCAAATTCGGCCGTTCACCACTTTCGGCTAAGCAAAGCAACTCTTTAGCTCTTTTGAGTCTATTTTCTTCCTGTCATTTTCTCTTACGAATTCACCAAGCCGATTTTTTTAAGAATATTTTTTTAAGTATTACCTGAGCTTCCAGATATATTAAGGACTATCAGTGTGGGCGTTTTAAGAAAATTTTCCCCAAGGACAAGGACTTCTTTTCTGCTTCCGCCCGTCCAGTGCCCTATTTTTCCACCTCACTAGTTGAAGCATATACAACATTAAAAACAAATATAAATTATTAAAAAGGAGTTTTTTTGTATTTATTTAGGTTTTTTTTGTTGTTGATGTTGTTTTGTATTTTTTGCACAGAAAATCGAAATGTTTTACACAAGACCAAATAAAATTTACGCTAATTAAAATTATGTTTATTAAAACTTATGAGAAAAAGAAATTCCATTTTTCTTTTTCTCATAAGTTTTAATAAAGCTCTTTAATGGAGAAAACAAATTAAATAATTTGAGAACTACAATTAAATATGTTCGACAAAAAAGAAATCCTCTAGAGCATGGATGGATATCAAATCCAAACTAAATAATAATCACAAGAAAATTAAAGAATAAATGGAATACATTTTTTGTGTGTATGTGTTGATTGATTTTTTTTCTTCTGTATGGAAATAAAACAAACTAAAGAAATGGCAAAGAAGTCTTAAATTTGTAAATTTGTTTGAATTCTATTTGTTGTTAAATTTCTTCCGGCATATAGATGGTATTTATTGTTCTTGAATAATGTAAAAAAAAATTGCGCCTTTCTTCCCCACTGAGTTTAAATTAAAATATATTATTATGGTTGTTTTATTGTTGTTGCAGTTTGTTTTTTACGTTTTCTTTTATTGTTGTTGTTGTTCTTGAAATTGTTTTTTATACTGTGGCGAATGAATTTTGTTGTTGCTGTTTTGTTGTGAATGTAAAAAGAATGTGTGTATGTATGTAAGTGTGTGTGTGTGACAGGGTGGAGTAGGAGGAAAACAATGGCTGCTGCAGTTTACGAATATTGAATGTTTTTTTGTTATACTTAATTGATGTACAAATTATTATTTCTTTTTGTTTGTTTGTTTGTTTTGTTTTTTGGCTATTTGCCACTCCGTAACGAAACGAAATACCACCGACCAACCGAACCGAACTTAATCAATATACTGCGCTAACCAACGGAAACCTTCACCATAACCTTGTCTCTTCAGCACAGAGCACATGAACAACTCCAAGGGACGACCAGGCAAATCGGAACGTGCAACTTTGCCCTAGAAAATATTACAAATATGTTAATGGACCTTTTTAAAATATGCCATGAAAATAACTTACCTTGCCAGTGGTTAATTGATAGAGACCAAACACATTTCTTAACTCATCTTCACTGGCAGCACCTGGTTTGTCGATTTTGTTTCCCAAAATAAGCACAGGACAATTTGACAAAGCCTCATCTGTGAGCAGAGAGTCCAATTCGTTTTTGCTTTCTTGGAAACGGCCACGATCCCAGGCATCGATTAAGAATACAATGGCATCCACAGCGGGGAAATAGTCCTTCCACACTCTACGGGCTGGAAAAAGAAGCAAATGAAATTGAATTTTATAATTATCGGAATTTCATGAAAGAGGAAAACATATTAGAGAGGATTTGCTATGATCCACCTTATAGATAATTTGTAATTATACTTAAATTATCCCTCATAATTTATGTTTAATTCCAAAAGAATACCTTAATGAAAATTAAGCAACAAAAGGTATATTTTTTTTCTAAAGAATATTTCCTGAAAACGTTCCAAAACTAAAATCACCGCTTTTTATTTGTTTTTTCTCTTTCGAGATGAGCTTAATGATGATATGAAATTTGCAGTACGAAGGAAAGCCATCCAAACACTATCACACACTCCCCACTATGTGATGCGTTTTACATTTGAATGATGCCGAACAAGGGCCGTTTTTTGAAAAATAGTATTTATTTCAAATTTATTGCGATTGAACATATGCGAATTAAACGCCTGAAACTATTCAAGTTCTACTAGCGATTTTTTACAGCAACGCTTGTTTTTGTATTGATGTTTTTTTTGCCTACAACAACCAAATTACTTCCAAGGCATACACTTTTTATAGTACTGCTGTGGGAAGAAGACTTTACGTTGAGATGGCAACTTCTAGGTGGCTGCACATTAAGGCAAAGATCATACAGGGTGAGATAAAAAAAAAACGGCAACAAAGTCAAACGCCATAATTTTTACATTTTTTTTAAATGTTATTGAATAAAAGCCAAAAATATCGGAAATAGCATCAAATTTTAGAATAAGTTTAGATTTGTTCGAATTGGTCACCTCTGGCAAAAATTATGGCCTTCAAACGGTCAATGAAACCGACACACGCTGCCCGAATGTTGCTCTGCGGTACTTTGGCCCAATCCCGGCGAAGCGTTTGCTTGAGGTGATCGACACTTTGGTATTTTTTAGTGACAGCCTTGCTTTTCAAAGTACTCCAGACACAATAGTCCATCGGATTGGTATCCGGGGATTTTGGTGGCCATCGTGCGCTGGAAAAAAGGGAGGAACCACATTTTGTAACCATTCTTGGGTGGCGCGTGCTGAGTGCGATGGTACTGGGTCCTGTTGGAATGTCCAAGGTCTGCGGCCAAATTGTTTGCTTACCGAAAGCTTTAATACATCCTCCAGAATATTTTCGCGATACTATTAGCCTGATGCCACGGTCGATTAATACCAACGGGGAGCGACCATCGGCTGTTATGGCGACCCACACCATCTCCATGGCCGGCGCTTGAGTTCTGGTGGCCAACTTAAAGTGCACATTTTCAGCTGACCTCTTTGTCAAATAAACACGATCATTTTTTTATTTACAAACTGCTGGACACCGAATATTTTCTCACCGGAGAAAACCAAATTCGGCAGTTCACCGCTTTTGGCCAAGCGAAGCAACTTTTTAGCTCTTTTGAGTCTATTTTCTTTCTGGTGCGGTGTAAGTTATTCGAATTTCAATAGCTTTACTTCGAACTCATTTTTTAATATTTTCCGAATGGAATATTGCGATATGTTCAGCTCACAAGCCATTTTTCGGCCACTGCGACGCGGGTTTCGATCAAGTTGCTTCTTTACTTTTCGAACCATTTCTGCTGGTGTTGCTGTTTTCTTCCGTCCACTTCCTTGACGTCGAGCTACGCTACCAGTATCATAGTAATGAGCGATGGTACGACACACACAAAAGATTCATTCGCATTTAAATGCTGGAGTGCTCTAACGATAGTCACTTGTGGTTTTCCAGCCAAATACAAAAAATCACACTAACCCGCTTGAATTCCATCACGAATAATTTTTTGTCTTGAAAATTTATATATAAATTTTATATAAATTTAATCATGATGACTTACAAAATAGATAAGAATTCGTTAAAGAACTAGGAAATTGAGAATATAGGGGTTTTAAAATAGTTTTTGAGGGTTTGGCTGAGGTTGCGGCATCTTAATTCCGAAAAAAAAAAATCCAAATTAAGTTCCAGTGTTACAGGCCTTCAACAATGGCTAGACTCCAAACTTCTTTCTAAAATTTGCTTTTTCAATTTTGTCTCACATAAAAAAACAATTATCAAAAAATTATCAAAATATTTTCTCCTTAGCCATCTTTTTTATTAACAATCTACATACACTCGATTTTTATACGAAACTACCGCATTAAAATTGGCAGCAGGAGTTAATGATGTAACACAACATAGTAAACAAAATTCTGGGGTTGTTCTCTATTGTCCCCCCAAAAAAACAAAACCTGCTTGACAACATTTAACTTGAAATGCAAATGAACCAATTCGTACTAACTTAACCTAGTGGTTAACTTAAAGGAGTGGTTGGTTGGTAGTTAAAACAAAAGTGATTCATAAGTTATGCTAGCTTACCTTGAGTGTGACCACCCAAATCGAAGGTGGTGAAGCGCATATTGCCAATGGACAATTCTTCCGATGCTGTAAAGAAAGTTAATAAAAAATGTAATTTAGAAACTTAAATCATTGTTGGGAAATTTGTGTACTTACTGGGATGTAATGTTGGTACATGTTGGGCTAATTTATCATCTTTGAGCATGTGCAACAATGTGGTTTTACCAGCGTTATCCAAACCAAGGAACAATAATTTACCCGATTTTTTCCATAGACCTATTTTGGAAGAGAAACAAAAAAAAAAGAATTTAATTTTTAATTTAGTTTAGCTTTGCTTTACAAACACCGCATAAAATTTAAAGTGTAGATCATTTCACTAATATCTGGCAGCATATGTTTTCTAGGTTCCTCTTCTAATGAGCATATTTAAAAGGTTGATTTAAAAAAATCATCAAAAAGGAAAAAAAAAAATAATGAATCCGATAGGGATTGCAGGCTCTTTCCGAAAATATAGACTTTTCGGCCTTACCGCTTCACTGAAGGCTATTTTTTACAGGTCTTACAAGCCTTCAAGAGAGATAAAATATATATTCAAAATGTTCTATTTACAGAGATCTAATTAAAAGAATATATTTGAAATGTCTTCGATAAAGAGGACATCTTTCATTTACCTTCCATATAATATAATATATAATTCTATAATATGGTAAGGTCATTTGGTGATAAAGAAAAAAGATAAATAAACTACAATTTTTTATTCATATATGCATAGAAAGGCTTTAAGAAAAATTCTGGGTCTTCTGACAGGGCTTTTTGAAGATAGAAGAGTTAATACTAGGTTCGCGGAGACGGAGTCGAGCAATTTCTGAGGGAGTTGGGGTCGAAGTCTTGAAAAAATTAGACCTGACTCAAAATATTTTTTAGATAATTATTGATATTTTGTATATTATTATGGTTGTTGTAATATCAATAAGTGTTTCCTATTAATTTCTCCAAATCGGATCCAACTCCAAATTTAAAAATTCGGTCATCATGCTCCAAAGTTCTCCGAAATCGACTTTAGAGTTGATCACACGCTGGGCAGATTTTATATACTTATTTATCAATTATAGCCCAATTCCAATTGAGACGGCTGTAACATCCTTAACGTAGTTGGACCAAAACAACGTTGGTTTGCCTATGCAGCCGACTTTCTTCAGCTGGAATGGATGGGGTGGACTCCTTTATAACTTTCATATTGTAATTGTTGAAAGCACCTCTGACAACATCAGAACTGCCAGATAGAACTTTTCATCTTGAGGCTCTCTCTTATAACGTTGGACCTCCATATCTCTAGGTCATTCTTGACCTGCCTGGGTGGGATAGTTTTACCCCACATATGATGGCTTTGTTGGATCCCACAGTAACATCCATACAGGTATTGCTTGTTATAGGCCTTTTAGAACACTTCTCTGGATAAAAGACCAAGTAAATCTCTTATCCATATTTATATATTGAAGACCTCTTGAATGCCGTTTAAGAGGTCTTGAGGAGATAAAGGATACCAAACGTAGTTCTTATATGGACTTAAGATCTTACAAAGTCATCTGTTTTCATCATCGTTTATCGATTTTTTTATTAAGATTCAACTTTTCGGATTCAGTTATTTTGAATATTGAATTTTTAAATTTCATTTATAAATTAAAGACATCTCACGATTTCAATTGCTAAACTTGCTCTATGTTTATTTCTACGATAAATGACCTGTAAAAGCCCACCAGACTTCTATAAATAGATCCAGAAAAAAACATCTAGTTCAGGAAAATCGCAGTTAAAGCTTTCAAAATACCATAAAGTTAGTGGTACTGTAGCATGGGAGCTATAGCAAAACGTAAGCCTACATAGACAATTGTTCTGCAACATAGGCTGTTATCTATTGTGAAAAATCATGAAATAACCGAATACCGTGGGATATGTTATATGGGAACTGCTGACACTGTGGATCAATATAGTCGATATCCTGGAACCGATGGTAAAATACCAAATTTTAAACAAACCCGATAGAAAAAGAGGATAAAATCGACAAAAAAATCGAATAACTCCAAAAACCCGATATATGTAGGCTATAGAGAAAATTAACCTACATAGACAATGTTATGAAACAATTTCGTGGAAAAATAACATTAAAATGATCGAAATAATTAATATCGGCAGGTACCTACTACTGTAGTTATAGGAAAACGTGGACGTATATAGACAATGTTCACCCCCCGGAGCTGGAAACTATTGCGATCTACAAATATCGAATTCCAAACATATACGATAGAGAATGTGGCATAAATTGTCAAAATTACGAATATCCGAAAATACCGTTATATGGGTAATGGCTACAGGAAAACGTGTACCTATATAGACAATGCTATTAACCATGATACAATGATATCAAGGTAGGGCTATGATACCATATGATTTTAATTTTTTTATTTTCTTGGCTTAATATGTCATCTTTATTTGTTTATGTATGTGTTTTCTTTTCAATAACAAAAAATTGTTCAGAAAATATTCAAATTCGGATGTTTTCAAAATGTTTATTTCCACGTATGCATCGACAAAATCTAGAGTTTTTGTAGCGAAATAATCCTTTAGAGGTATATAGTACATGATTTTGATAAGAAGTGTTGACCTTTCATTCAGTTATGGCGGTTTTCAATTATTTATTCAAAATAAATGCAACAAGTTGTTTGATTTTTTATTGTTTTGATACTAATTTTGACATTACAAACCAAACAGGTAGACCTCTATACTTGCAAAATTTTCAAAGTTGACCTACCTTCTCTTCATTGTACCATGCTATTAACTATAAATTCCAAATTTGAAACATTTTTGCAGAAAAATGTGAACACGTTGACCTACATATAAAATGTTTGAAGACTAACTAGAATACATTACAATCTCTATAGTCTCAAATTCAAACAAGTCCGTAGAAAATTATGTCTAAAATTATTAAAATATCGAATATTGGCTGGTACCATGGTACAATAATATCAAGGTAGGGCTATGATACCATATGATTTCAATTTTTTTATTTTCTTGGCTTAATATGTCATCTTTATTTGTTTATGTATGTGTTTTCTTTTCAATGACAAAAAAATGTGTTCGGAAAACATTCAAATTCGGATGTTTTCAAAATGTTTATTTCATCGTATACATCGACAAAATCTAGAGTTTTTGTAGCGAAATAATCCTTTAGAGATATATAGAACCTGGTTTTGAAAAGAAGTGTTGACCTTTCATTCAGTTTTCGCGGTTTTCAATTATTTATTCAAAATAAATGCAACAAGTTGTTTGATTTTGTTATTGTTTTGATACTATTTCTGACATTACAAGCCAAACAGGTAGACCTCTATACTTGCAATTTTTTCAAAGTTGACCTACCTTCTCTTCATTGTACCATGGCTGGTACCTCTAAATGAGGGTATAGAAAACTTGTACCGAGATGCTCCATTTCAATGTCTACATCCTACACATAATGCAAACTAGTATGCCAAATTTAAAAGCCCTACGTCGCATAATATTGCATGTATTTTGATTTGAGGAGACAGACGGACACCGTTAATACCACATACTTTATGGGTTCTCTGACGAATATTAGCGGTTATTACATAGGGAATGACAAATTTAATATGCCCTCATTGTCATGGTGGAGGGAAGTAGGAATGTTCTGTATAAAGGATACATATGTCGGTCACCCATGGATAAAAGACGACTCAGCATTAACAATGTATATAAAATATTTTATTGATGTAAGACCTTTTATTTTGAGGTAAAATATTGTTTAGTTTTATCTACTAATTAAAGACATATCAAGTTATTTAGATAAAATATCTCTTGGATGTTAGGACTGAAAATTTATTTTGCATTATTAGACTGTTTTTAACGTATTCTGTACAAACTTTAAAAAGGTCTTCTGTAAAGTGAAGCGTAGCCCCTTAAAACAGGCATTTTTAAAATCCGTTGAATTTATTCCAGTTTATTTTATGGGGATAAAATCTAGTAGACTTCCACAATTCTTCATTAAAAACCTTCGATTTCATTCATTCCTTCTATGGATAGACTTTGAATCGTTGTATATTTGAAACTGTTTGTTTATAAGAACATATTGTACACTTGAAAAAAGTACCTGACTTCGATTTAGAAGTGATTGAAAGTACTATAAGGATTCAAGTGTAGCAAGTATTCACTTCACAAAAAATAAAATGCAAAACAAAGATTGCACTCTTCCAACAACGTTAACACAAAAAAAAAAATGAATCGAACGCCAAGTTTCATTTTTTTAACATTGAACTTGATCGGCTAACCTTATCCATTTAACAATGAATAAGATAATTATCAAAATTGTTGTTGTAGCTTTTATTGGGCTACAGATATCTTCTATAGCTGATTTCATGAAGACGAGTATCTCACAAAACCAATGTGTATTTGTGATATCTCCTTTGATATACACTTTTTCAATAAATTGCGACCAAATAGCCGTCTAAATTCGATGTTGGGTCAAAAAACAAGATAATCAAGTGGCCGAGATGTTCAAAGATCAAACGTCAAAAGTAAACACAATGCCATGGCCAACAGCGTGACGTTGCGTGTGTGTGTTTTTTTAAACGTCAACACTTGTTTAAGCTGCTGCTACTACCGACCGTGTCTGTCAAGTTTCAATGGATAGACATATGGGCCCATATTTATATGCTTTGTTGGCAGAAACAAATTTTAAAGATTAACAGAGTTTTAATTTTTGAATATGCTCCACTTACCCAAATATCCTAAAACACCGGTAAACCAATCCCAAATGAACATTTTGTTTTAATATGCTTCTAATATGCGGGGAAGAAGGGAATTAAGTGATATTAAATTGTTGAAATGCTGCGGCTCTGCTGCTGCTATGTTAAACTAAGCTGTAAATAAAAGAACAATAAAGACAAGTTAAAAAAAAAAGACGGAAACATTAAACTCGAACAAATAGAAACAGCAACAAATAACAAAGAAAGTAGTGCACTTTTCAGTATTAGCACACGTTCACGCACACACACTCACACACATGTACACTGCCTATGCTAATTTCAATGAGAGCCCAGATAGTATGGATGAGTTCTGATGAATAGGGAATTATTTGGGGACTGCTTATAGCGATTACAACTCACGCTCCCCGCATATAAATAATTATTACATGCTTGAGAAAACTGATAGTTAGAAATGAATGAATGACTGGGCAACTCTTGCTGAATGCAAAGCAATAAATGATAAGACACGGGGCAGCAGGCACTTCAAAGATTGAACAAAGTAAAAAAAATAGTAGCAGTGGCTGGCTGACTCTCTAAATAAAGGCAAAACCTTGACATAAATATGTGTAAGGCGCAATACACGGCTGACGAAAAATATTATTAATAGACTCATCCATTGCTGGCTGGGCGCAAATAACAATCAAATTGTTATTTAATAATTTGCAATTATTTGTGGTTTCATTTGGGGCATATTGTACTTTAGACTTTTTCGAGATGCAAATGCATTAATGTTGGGCCTGGAAGTTATGACCCGCATTTCTCCATACTGTTCCGGAATAATTTTTCCAGGCACAGCCACGATTTACACTTCATTTTTCTTCTGACCAATCATTGTTTTACGAATCACACCACCACCAACACCACCGCCGCCGTCTTCTGCTGTCTTGTCTGCCTGCCTGGCTAGTATGACAACTAGTCAAAATCAGCAGCCAGGCAGCGTATATGTGCGTGTTTCTTTTATCATTTTTTACACTTCCTATTTCTTTTTTCTTTCTTTGCTCCTCGAACTTTTCAACAACACTTTTTTTTGTCCAGTCATTATCGGGCATGCCGAGGATGCATTGAACTTGTCTTACCTAATGGAGTATATTTTAATTAAAAGTACAAATTCCAATAAATTTATCCAAAGCTCCCCTATCAAATTTTCACTTAATTCTTTCTTTTTTTCTGTTAACAAGAAGAAGAACAAGACACGACACGACAGCAACGACAGCGTTCAATGTTACTAACTTATGGGAATGTTAAAAACGTCAAAAAGTAGATGTGACATTTGACATCTGTCAGTGTTGTGATGGATGAACAAGGTACATTGCTTTTGTTAAAGAAAATCATTTATAATGTAGAAATAAACGAATTAATTACATATATAGTATTTCGCATTTGCTGAAGCCTGAGATATGAGAGTATGATTTGTAATAAAATATGCTTTGCTGTTTGCTTTTTCAATGGAATTCTTTGTTTGGTGATGTTGTACGATATATCGACAAATGTGAATACAAATAAGAAATGTGAAAGAAGTTCGGGTGTAAAATAAAATAGTTTGAAAGGTTTATTTCCTTTCTTTTTCATTATTAATGTTGTTGTTTTAGTTACTTTTCCATATTCCTAAAAGAGAAAGAACTATTCCATACGTTTTTACAATATTACTTGATAAATTATGGCACAAGAATCTTTCCAATTATATGAAAATGTTTTTAAAAAAAAAAAACAATTTTTGAAATTAATAGGAAATATATGGAAACGATTTTGAAAAGAAAGAAATTTTTTTTTTTTTTTTTATCAAAGATCAATATCCTCCGCCATAACTAGTAACTCATCGTTTGTAACTCATCGAAATAAAAATTTTAGACTTAACAAAGTATTTATATATTTTTGATCAGCGTAATATTCTAAGACGATTTAGCCCTGTCCGACCGTCTGTTGTAATTATGGTAGAGTCAAAACGAATAAATTTAGGAAACTAACATTTTGCCCAGATCTTTTGTCGGCAGGCAGGTCAAGTCGATCGACGATATCGTATAGCCCCCATATAAAGGTACCCATTTTTGATGAATGAGCAAAATTTTTCAATTAAATGGTTTGAAAATCCACAAATGAAGTTCCTTCAGAGTATTTTACAACCTGGAAAGTCTATATAGGTCCACGATATCGTATATTTGGTATTTTAATGATTTTAGCTACATTTTTCAATGGAATTGTCTAAAAATTCATACTATTTCTAAATTCGTTCAAAATGTTGAAGGGTATTCAAAGTTCGGCAAATGTTCAAACCTTATCTTTATAGTGCAATGAATTTAATGCCAATTGTACATATAAACCAGGTTAGAACACTTCTATAGGGTCGAATAATCGACTTTTAGTATTCAAAGTTCTGGAAGTCGTTTTCGACTATGGAATACAGTGCAACCCGATATATCGGCTATTCATTATATTTTCAAATACTTTCTCAGGATGTGGCTTATAATTTTTGGAGATGATCGACATCGACAATCTCTTGGTTTAGGGTAGCACGATACGGACGTAGAATTGTGGCATTTCATAAATGGATGCCACAGCCGCACTCAAATCCTGTCATCGTTCTTTATGAACTTCGAAATTTTAAACAATTCCCGTGAATATTGCACCTAAAATCGAAAAATTATGGGATATAGGGAACTGTTATACGAGGGCTATACGAAGACGTGAAACTGTATAGAAAAATTTCTGTCATAGACTGTGGTTCTCATTACAAACTTCAAATACCGAATTTGAAACAATTGCGGTAAATATTGTTCCTAAAATAATCAAAATACCAAATATAGAGGTAGATAGAGATAGACAATTTTCTATTATAGAATGTAGTTCCCATTACCAACTCTAAATACGAAATTTAAAACAACTCCGGTGTATAATGTCCCTATAATCGTCAAAATATGGAATATCGAGGGGTACCGTTGTATAGGGGCAAGACGATATCGTGGACCTATATAGACAATTCTCTTCCAGGGGGTAAAGTACTCAGGAGAAACTCTGTGTGGATTTTCAGAATATAGGGAGGTACCGTTATATGGGGAAATACGATATCGTGGACCCTTGTAGACAATACTCTTCCAGGGGGTAAAGAACTCATAAGGAACTTCTTATGTGGATTTACAGTCAATTTCATTGAAAAATTTGGCTACAATCATCAAAATACCGAATATCCGGAAGTACCGTTATATGGGGGCCATGTGTTATCGTGGACTGACTTAGCTCATCTTTAAACTTGATCTGTCTTTTGACAAAAAACGGAACTGGGCAAAATTTTAGCTTCCTATCTTTGTTCGTTTTGACTCTAACGTGATTAAAACAGCCGGACATACGGACGGACAGGGCTTAGAATTTTACGCAGATCAAGAATATATATACTTTGTTGGGTCTAAAATTATTATTTTGATGAGTTACAAACGGAATGACGGTATAAAAATATAAGAAGGGGCCATAGTTTTTTTGGCGATTTTTTTAAAAAGGCGATTTTGATATTTGTTTATTTAGCAGCACTTGCATTTTATGTCGGCTCTTTTCGCATGTAACTATCTAATGAAATACAACCATGCAACCTTAGTATCAGTTGGCAACGTAAACCGTGTTACTCTTAACTACACATCAACAGAGGGCGCTCTTCGTTTTATAATAAAAATATGTTTTTTTATTGTAAGTTTTTGTAATCGTTTTATAATTACTTTTTTAAAACAAGTAATATTGAATAATTCATAATTAAACAACTCTTTTATTTAATATAAATATAAAAATATATATATTTTGTTTGCCATCTGAAGAGATAACAGCTATCTGATTGACAGTTGAATTGCAGTATTTTTGTTGTTGCTCTCCATGTGCATTTGTATTGCAATAACCCGGCATCCCTGTGAGAGAGAGAGAGAGTGAGTGGGAAAGAAGAAGAGCAAAGAGAACGAGTGTGCAAATAACAGTAAATACGTGCATTGGCGTTGTGAATGAAAGTTTTGTTGTTGAAAGAAAAGAAAATAAATAAAATACCCCCCAAAATTATGAAATGTTAACAAATCAAAAATCAAAGTGCAACAATAATGTGATATACTCTTTAAACAAAACAACAACGACAACAACTTTATGTGCATAATATATATTTGACGTTTGGTTCTTCCATAGAAATCAATTCAAAACAGCATTTTTGTAAGTTTCATTCATTGTTTTTAATACATAGCATGGATGGCGCACGTGTATGTGTAGCGAGTGTGTGAGTGTATGTGTTGATTTCTGTAAATGTTTGCCGGCTTTTGCAGCACGTTCGCATCAACCAACACATTCTCATAGATTTCCGGCTGTATCATAACGCCGCATCGCCTGCAATGTTATGTCCTCCACCTGTACATGATTCGGTGTCTCAAGTGCATACATTATTGCATCGGCCACATCGACAGCATTCAGTTTGGGTAGGTCAGCAACGGTGTGGGAGTAGACATTTAGGAAATCTGTATCCACCATGCCGGGATTAATGCTCTGGCAAGACGGAGAGGAAGAAGAGGAAAAGAAATTGAAAAGTAAATAAATTATTTATTGTGGATAAATCTAATATTTTGTTTTTTAGAAAGGGGGGTTTTCTGTGGATTAGTAAGGTGCATTTGATTGCATAATTCATTTGCATTAGTGTCTGATATCTGTACATTGTGTACCTACGTATAGTAGACAGTTTAAATACTTGCATACATACATATATATGCATGTATCATATTATCTTAAAGGTAATGAAAATGTCTTCGTAGAGAAAATTTCGACGAAAAAAAGTTATCAAAATTAAATTTTGTACGATTTTTGTTGTTGTATAGGAAATATAAAGAAAAATTTATAGGAAATATAGAAAAATTTAATTGAATGGATAAATAGCAGATATTTTCTTCGAAAATTCTTTCCATATTGAATAACAGAAACTATTGTCGAAAAATAGATTTAATCATAATTTTCATGTCAGATCAAATTGCGCCAAAAATAAGTTCGACTTAAACGATTTTTTATACCCTCCACCATACAGGGTGAGATAAAAAACTGCAACGAAGTCAAACGCCATAATTTTTACATTTTAGCATCAAATTTTAGAATAATTTTATATTTGTTCGAATTCGTCGCCTTTGGCACGAATTATGGCCTTCAAACGGCCAATGAAACCATACGCTGCCGAATGTTGCTCTGCGATATTTTGGCCTATTCGGTTATCGACACTTTGGTTATTTTTTAAGTGCCAACCTTGCTTTCCAAAATACTCCAGACACAATAGTCCAACGGATTGGTATCCGGAGATTTTTGTGGCCATTGTGCGCTGGACATGAAGCGAGGAACCTTATTTTGTAACAATTCTTGGGTGGCGCTTGCTCGCCTAAGGTCTGCGGCCAAAACTTCTGCGTGCCCAAGGCTTTAATACACCCTCCAGAATATTTTCGCGATAATATTCGACATTTATTCTGACGCCACGGTTGACTAATACGAGCGGAGAGCGACCATCGGCTGTTATGGCGACCCACACCATCGACATGGTCGGCGCTTGAGTTGTGGTGGCCAACCGAAGGTGCACATTTTCAACTGACCTCTTTGACAAGTAAACACGATAATTTAGTTTGTTCACAAACTGCTGGACAACGAGTGTTTTCTCATTGGAGAAAACCAAAATTGGCAGTTCACCACTTTCGGCCAAGCGAAGCAACTCTTTAGCTCTTTTGAGTCTATTTTTTCTGTTGCACTTTTTTGAATTTCAATGGCCTTACCTCGAGCTCATTTTTCAATATTTGCCTAATGGAATATTGCGATATGTTCAGCTCACGATCCATTTTTCGGCCACTGCGACTTTTCGAACCATTTCTGCTGGTTTTGCTTTTGTACGCTTGTAAACAATATAATGAGCTGTCACTGGAATAATTTTAACAGCTGCCGGATGAGTAGCTTAGAAAGGACAGCAGTCTTAAGTTGGTTGCAGTTTTTATACCCTCCACCAAAAAAAGTATGGAGGGTATATTAAGTTCGTCATTCCGTTTGTAACTCATCGAAATAATCATTTTAGACCCAACAAAGTATATATATTCCTGATCAGCGTAAAATTCTAAGACGATTTAGCCCTGTCCGTCCGTCTGTCCGTCCGTTGTAATCACGCTACAGTCTAAACGAATTAAGATAGGAAGCTAAAATTTGGCACAGATCTCTCTTTTATCTGTAGGCAGGTCAAGTTCGAAGATGGGCTATATCGGTCCACGATATCGTATAGCCCCCATATAACGGTACCCCAGATATTCGGTATTTTAATTGTCTGAAAATCCACACAAAGAGTTCCTTGTGGGTACTTTATACCTCGGCAGAGAATTATCTATATAGGTCCACAATATCGTATAGCCCCCATATAACGGTACCCCCGATATTCGGTATTTTGATGATTTTACCCACATTTTTCAACGGAATTGTCTGAAAATCCACACAAGGAGTTCCTTGTGCGTACTTTATACCGCGGCAGAGAATTGTCTATATAGGTCCACTATATCGTATAGCCCCCATAGAACGGTACCCCCCGATATTCGGTATTTTAATGATTTTACCCGCATTTTTCAACGGAATTGTCTGAAAATCCACACAAAGAGTTCCTTCTGGGTACTTTATACCTCGGCAAAGAATTATCTATATAGGTCCACGATATCGTATAGCCCCCATATAACTGTACTCCCCGATATTCGGTATGTTGATGATTTTAGCCACTTTTTCCAATGGAATTATCTGAAAATCCACACAAGGAGTTCCTTGTAAGTACTTTACACGCAGACATCGATTTGTCTTTATAGGTCTACAATATCGTATATCCCCCCATATATCGGCACATTCCTATATTAGATATTTTAAAGATTTTAAAAGAATTTTTAGTGGATTTTATTTTTTTGAAAATTTTCTAATTCGTTACAAATGGTGGAGGGTATTCAAAGTTCGCCCCGGCCGAACTTACTGCTTTTTTACTTGTTTCATCTCACTCGTATATCAGTACCTCCGGATATTCGGTATTTTGACAATTTTAGGTACAATATTCACCGAAATTGTTTGAAATTTCGTATATGCAGGTCCAGGTCTTCGTATGGGACCCATATATCATTACCTCCCTATATTCGGCATTTTGAAGATTTTAGGCACAATTGTTTGAAATTTTGTATTTAAAGTTCCTTATAGGTACTACAGCATGTGACAGAAATTTATCTATGCAGGCCTCGTCTTCGTATAGACCCTAATATAAAGGCTATAGGCGAATTCGTATAGATCCCAATATAAAGCCGAATATAGCCTTTAATATTCGCTGTAGTATCTATTAGGATATTTTTAAGTTTTTTTTTTCATTTTTACAGATTTTACTTTTTTGAAAATCTCTAAATTAGTTCCAAATGGTGGAAGCTATTCAAAGTTCGGCTCGGCCGAAATAACTGCTTTTTTCTCGTTGATATTTCCAGGAGTCTGAATTTTATTTATTTTTATGTGTTGCTTTTCTTCTTCTCACAATATTTTCTACATTTAATTAACCACTGGCAAGGGCCACAGTGTCTTCACAGTCGAAGTCGTCGAAAACTTCAAGACCTTCCGTTTGTTGTGTGATGTGATAATTTACATACACCGGCCATGGACGGCACAACATAAATTGCGAAATATTTGGCAGTGATGTCAACATCAACAGTCAATGGAGAAAAACAACAAACTTTTTTTTTTATTCTCGCAGAACCAATCAGGTATTGTTGGTCATCGCATATATACACCATGACGAATGGGTGACCAGCAGATATGGAAAAAAAGCTCGACTCTTTTTTCCTGATATAAATTCTTAACAAGGTTATGGTTCAAGAAATGTTAAAGACCTGATTTTTACGCTCGTGTTGGTTTATGCGTGTGTGTGTGTTGGGGTTATTTTCTTCATTGCAGTCCAGTGATGTCAAAGCCGCAATGAATGATATTATTCGATGTAATTACGTTTCGTAAGTGCATTAATTAACGGACAGCTTAAATGAGTGCATTATACAGTAGGGGAGAAAAGTTGTCGTCGTTTTCGAGGAAAATTAAATTTTGTTCCATAGAAATAGGAATTTTCGTCGAAATTTGTTTCTATGTCGAAGAAACAGGAAATTTCGTCGAAATTTGTTTCTATCCTATGGAAACACGATATTTCGTCGAAATTTGTTTCAATCCTATAGAAACACGAAATTTCGTCGAAATTTGTTTCTATGCTATAGAAACATGAAATTTCGTCGAAATTTGTTTCTATGCTATAGAAACACGAAATTTCGTCGAAATTTGTTTCTATGCTATAGAAACACGAAATTTCGTCGAAATTTGTTTCTATGCTATAGAAACACGAAATTTCGTCGAAATTTGTTTCTATACTATAGAATCATGAAATTTCGTCGAAATTTGTTTCTATGCTATGGGAACATGAAATTTCGTCGAAATTTGTTTCTATGCTATAGAAACACGAAATTTCGTCGAAATTTGTTTCTATGCTATAGAAATACGAAATTTCGTCGAAATTTGTTTCTTGCTATAGAAACACGAAATTTCGTCGAAATTTGTTTCTATGCTATAGAAACACGAAATTTCGTCGAAATTTGTTTCTATGCTATAGAAACATGAAATTTCGTCGAAATTTGTTTCTATGCTATAGAAAGACGAAATTTCGTCGAAATTTGTTTCTTTCCACAGAAACACGAAATTTCGTCGAAATTTGTTTCTATGCTATAGAAACATGAAATTTCGTCGAAATTTGTTTCTATGCCATAGAAACACGAAATTTCGTCGAAATTTTGATGCTATCCTTAGAAACATGAATTTCGTCGAAATTTGTTTTATTTCCCATTCACCCTGTGGTCACATATATTCCCCACTGTTCATTTCGAACTGTCCACTCGACCGCCACCAATAAATGTAATCAAGTAGTACCTCTGTCACTCCACGTATGGAACTTGAAACATGTGTGCGTGTGTGCTGTGGCCATGTTGCCACACGCAACGCGAACGTATGGCGCGCGTTAAAAGAATATTTACTTACCGTTAATTTGATATTTAATTTAAGGAAATGTATTTCCTGACGCAACGTCTGACACAGACCCGTAATGGCATGTTTCGTGGCGGGATAAACACTGAATAAGGGCACGGCAACGTCTGGTATCCGGTGGCCTAGAATGCTGATGAACACCAAAAAAAAAAAGAGAAGAAAAAAGACACAAAGAACAAAAAAAAAAACGTGAATGGAGAAAACAAGCCGAGGATAAACAATTAAATGTTGATGAAGGAAGAGCAATCAAAATCAAGGCAATCGGATGTGTGTGGGTGTTGGGTTGGAGTTGTGGTTTACTTATTCGATGGCCATATGAGCGTGGCCCCGAATGATGTGGTATGTGTGACCGTTATCTGGCCAGTCTTCCTGCTTGTTTGGCGTTGCTGTGACATTGCGTACCGCGTAAGGCAACAAACATTTAACCATTCCAATTAGTGACCAACGATAAGTGTATTGGTTTCATCAGCTGCACTTTGCAATTGTAAAATTTGTCTCCTCTGTCACTTCTTCCTCGAAAGAAGAAAAGACTGTTACAACTTCACTTGAGTTGAGGAGAGGGAAGTACGAGAAGGAAATCACTGAAATACTGACAAATAAGGGATTGACCTTTTCCGAATCATTGAATTGAATAAATTGTTTCAGTTTGTGCTTCTTCAAAAGCTTCTTATGCAATTAATGTCATTTTTGGTGCGAAAAGTTGTGGTTTTTTGTGGTTGTTTGTTTGCAGCCTTTTTCTTATTTATTCTCTTGTAAATCGGATTAAATTGACATTTTTAAAGGGAGATTATTGTGTTTTGTTTGTTTTCATTTTAAAATTGAATTGAATTTTTAGGTAATTGATTTTATTAAATAAATTTTGTAATAGAAAAAATAAATTCTATACTTTAAAATCGGTTGCCTTGTTAAAAAAAGTCGACTTTTAGAATTTTTTTTCAAACCAGTAGATTTCGAATTTATATTTTTATACCCTACGCACTATGTCTTGGGGCTAGAATAAATTTGATTGGGCCAAAAATTATGTAACACCGCGAAATATTGGTCCCCGAGATAGGAAACTATAAATGGATCTTCCAATTTCGCCGAGCTGAGTCGATCTAGCTATTTGTCCGTCTGTCCATGTTAATTTGCAATCAAGCTACAGGTCGCAATTATGGCCCAATCTTCACGAAATTGAAAATGGAATTGGGTCAGGGTCAAAATAGAAGCCTATTGTTTATGGAGATGATCGCTACATATTTAGGGGTTGAAATGGACCAAAACAGAAACATTTCCTGATTTTGCTGTTGCTTTACAGGCTACAGTTTTAAAACAATCCATGCGGAATTTAGCATTTGTTTAGCAAATTTATTTTGACTTTAGGGACATTATTTGAGGCTTTAGGGATATTATTCACCGGAGTGTTTAAAATTTCGTATTTAGATTTTGTATTGGGTACTACAGCCTATGATAAAAAATTACGTAGGCCCCCGTTTTCGAATAGCCTCCATATTACGGTACCTCCCATTATTCGGTATTTTGACGATTTTAGGGACATTATTCACCTGAGTTGTTTCAAATTTCGTATTTACATTTCGTATTGGATACTACAGTCTATGACAAAAAATTACGTAGGCCCACGTCTTCGTATAGTCTCCATATAAAGGTATCTCCCAATACTTGGAATTTTGATGATTTTAGCGACCTTATTCACCGGAATTGTTTCAAATTTGGTATATACAGTTCGTAACGGATACTGCAGCATATGAAAGAAAAATTGTCTGTGCAGGTCCACGTCTTCGTATATCCCCCATATAACGGTACATCCCTATACTCGGTATTTTGATAATTTTTGCCACATTATTCATCTGTTTTTTTAAGTTTCGTATTTGATTATTGTAATGGCTTTTGACAAAAGTTGCCTATGCAGGTCCACGTCTTTGGTATTTTTAAATTAAAAACAATTTAATGGATTTTATTGTTTTGGATATTTTCAAATTCTTTCCAAATGGTGGAGGGAATTCGGAGTATATTCGGCCGAACTTACTGTTTTTTTCCTGTTGTACCCTCCACCATAGTATGGTATATTATACCTATAGGACTTTTGGTATTGAAAATGGGCCATGTAGATCCACGTTTTGGTATAGCCCCCACACGGTACCTCCCAATATTCGGTATTTTGATGATTTTAGCGACATTATTCACCGGAGTTGTTTCAAATCTCGTATTTAGAGTATTGCGACAAAAATTGTCAATGCATCCAGGTCCAGGTCTTCGCATAAGCTCCATATATCAGTACCTCCATATATTCGGTATTATGACAATTTTTGGTATTCACCAAAATTGTTTGAAATTTCGTATTTGATGTTCCTAATGGGTACTACAGTCTGTGACAGACAATTTACTAAGTCCAGGTCTTCGTATAGTGCCGATATAACGGTACATCCCTATTGAGGATTTTAGCTACATTATTCACCAATTTTTTTTTCAAGTTTCGTATTTGAACATTGTTATGGCTTATGACAAAATTTACCTATGCAGGTCCACGTCTTCGTAAAAAAGCAACAAAGGTAAAAGCCATAATTTTTATTTTTTTTTTTAAATTTTATTGAATGAAAGCAAAAAATGTCGGAAATCGCATAAAATTTTAGAATAAGTTTAGATTTCTTCGAATTGGTCACCTTTGGCACGAATTAGGCCTTTAAACGGCCAATGGAACCGTCACACGTTGCCTGAATGTTGCTCTTCGGTATTTAGGCCCATAACCGGCGAAGTGCTTGCTTGAGGTGATCGACGCTTTGATATTTTTAAGTGCCAACCTTGCTTCCCAAAATACTCCAAACACAATAGTCCAACGGATTGGTATCCGGGTGGCGCGTGCTGAATGCAATGGTGCTGAATCTTGTAGGAATATTCATGGTCTGCGGCCAAAATGTATTCATGCCTAAGGCTTTAATACACCCTCCAGAATATGTTCACGATAATATTCGGCATTAATTCTGATGCCACGGTCAATTAATACGAGTGAAGAGCGACCATCGGCTGTTGTGGTGGCCCACATCATCACCATGACTGGCGCTTGAGGTCTGGTTGCCAACCGACGGTGCACATTTTCAGCTGAACTCTTTGGCAAGTAAACATGATCATTTTGTTTGTTTACAAACGCTGGACAAGGAATGTTTTCTCATCGGAGAAAACCAAATTCGGCAATTCACCACTTAACTTTTCGAACCATTTCTGCTGATGTTGCTGTTTTCTTCCGTCCACTCCCTTGATGTGCTATGCTACCAGTATCACGGTAAGGAGCGATGGTACAAGACACAAAAAATTTATTCACATTTAAATGCTGGAGTACTCTAAGGATAGCCACTTGTTGTTTTCCAGCCATATATAAAGAAATCATATTATCACGCTTGAATTCCATGACGAATAACTTTTTTTCTGGAAAATTCTCACCAAAGTGCTTTTGTACGCTTGTAAACAATATAATTAGCTGACACTGGAATAATTTTAACAGCTGTCGGACGAGTGGCTTGGAAATGACAGCAGTCTGAAGATGGTTGCAGTATTTTCATCTCACCCTGTATGTGTGAAATTTGAAGAGAGTTGGATGCTTATTTCGCTTTCTTTGAGCGTTTTGTTTTTCAAAATCTTGAACCCTATGTGGGGAAGGTACCAGAAGAAATGGTCCGATATCTACCATCTTTATAACAGATCATGTGTTGATGGAAATATTGAGATGTACCAAGTCTGAATGGAATCGGATGTTAATTTCACGTTTTATGAGCTTCAGGGATATTCAAAATTTTGACCATTTGTGGGTGAGATACCAGAAGGAGTCGGCCCGATTTATCCCATCTTCACAGCAGATCTTGTGTTAGTAGAAATAATGGGACGTGTGAAACATGAAGAGAATCGGGGGTTTATTTCTGATTTTATTATCGTTTTGGTTTTTCAAAACTTTGATCCTTTGTGGGGAGGTACCAAAAGGAATAATCCGATCTCTACCATTATTATAACAGATCTTGTGTTGATAGAAATTTTGAGATGAGCCAAGTCTGAATGGAATCGGATGTTAATTTTGCGTTTTATGAGCTTCATGGACATTAAAAAATTTTCACCCTTTTTGGGGGAGGTACAGGGAAGGAGTGGACCGATATATTCAGTCTTCATACCAGTCCTTAGGTTAGTAAAAATATTGTGATGTGTGTAATTTGATGACAATCGGACTCTTACTTCACATTTTACAAATTTGTGACCCTTTGTGGAGGATATACTTGGAGTTTGCCAATATTGGCCATTTTCGCATCTGACCTAGCACTGATGCAAATATTAGGATTTACAAAGTTGGGGCAAAATGGGATTATCCTTTCTCTTTCTGTGCAGTAAAAAAAATTTTTTTTTGTGAAATTTTCGATTTTTTTGTAGGAGTTATTAAAGGAGAGGATGAATATTTCCCATCTCGAACTCGATCTAAGTTTGATAATAATATTCCGATGTACCAAGTTTGAATCAAATCGGATAAACCCTTCTAAAGTTAACGTGCTCGCCAGCCAGACAGACAAACGGACGTACATCGCTAGATCGACTGCAAATATCCTGAAACGGATTTGGTCCGACCTAGGGTATAAAACTTTTATTTCGATGAGGCACGTTTTGGCCGTATCCAATGATAAATACCCTCTCTAGCCATATGGCTGGGGGTATAATTAGTGTCAGGTGTGAAAATAGACAATATTGCTCTAATCTTTCTGGTATCTCCCCTACAAAAGGTTATCAGGTTACAACTCCATTTAAAAGGTAAATCAATGTCCCAATTTTCTTAAAAATGTTCACATCCAAATATTTTTTAAAACTAGTTCAAAAATAGAAAATGTCGGTACACTCCTCCCCGTACCTTCCCCCAAATTTTCAAACATGTCGAAATCATTATGTGTATATCTCATATAAAAAGTTTGTCCGTATACGACTTAGGTTAGCAACGAATGTGAAAGATATTGGCCCATTGCATCTAGCATCTCCTCCCAAAACCGGCAACATTTAAAAAATAATAACTATTTTAAAATACGATCGTAATTTATATTGTAAATGTAAAATTTTCTCTAAATGGTAATAATTTAATATCCTTATAAATGTACCGCATCTCGATCT